GAATAAGCCGACCCTGTGAACAGATAGATGCCGGTGTCTAGTTGTAGGAGATTTCAACGCACCATCAGTTGACTGGGATAGACTAACAACAAAAGCACCATAAAATTCGTCTGACCACAGGTTAGTGGAAACATCAATTTCCCTAGCCCTCGGACAGCACTAGGACACCAACCAGATATGATTATCAGCATGCTCCACCAGTTCTAGACTTAGTATTCTTACGTACAGATGATATATGCTTCGTCCGGTACCTAGCACCCCTTGGCAAAAGTGATTACGCTGTGATCATCTTTAGATTCAAAGCAGAAGTCTTGTACCAGACTGATGCCCCAGCTGGACCAAACATGTGGAAAGCGAATATGGAAGCCATTAACCCGGCAGCCTCTTAGGAGGAGTGGACAGTCAACTCGAAAGCCTCAGTTGAAGGTGCGTGGTGCTCCTTCAAACAGTTATAGGCACGAGTGACCCAACCGTTCATTCTGTGACTGTCCCGAGGGGACAGAAACACCGTCCTCCGTGGATAAACCACGAAATCCGAATCTTGCCACCCACCTTGGTACACCCGAAGTGGTGAAGCATTACAAAGAAGCTCGCAATAAATGTATCGCTGCTATTCGTCGGTCTCGAATATGCTTTGAAGCACGTCTTGGTCTAGGCTGCATTGCAACATCCGAAGAGGTTATTTTCCTATATGAACTATAGAAACAAGACGTGTCATGGTATACCCTCCCTAATCAACGCGACAGAAAATGACTGTTTGATTGAGAACGATGGGGAGAAAGCAGAAGCGATGGTTGGATATTTTCCTGAGGTCTTCATACAGGAATCTTCTGTGGACACTTATCCAACAGTAGGAGCACTGACATCCAACAGAATAAACTCCGTGGATATCGATCGCAATGACGTATTTCGGATATTAAATAATCTAGACCTGGAAAAATCAACCGGACCAGATGAGCTGCACCCAAAGCTGCTCAGATAGCTTGCACTCTATGTAGCCGGCCCATTGACTACTATATTCAGACTGTCTCTCAGAGAAGGCACACTCCCCTATGACTGGAAGGATGCCGTAGTAACACCCACTCACAAGGCAGGTTCTAGGCAGCTCCCATCAAATTACAGACCGATAAGTTTGACTAGTACTATAGTGAAAATCCTAGAAAGAGTAACTAAGAAAGTCATCACAGTCCACCTGGAGAGCAACATTATTGTCTCGTTCACAACATGGTTTTCGTAGAAATTTCTCTTGCTTGATGAACCTCCTTACAGTCAGAGAAAGTTGGGTTGAGTCTAAAGATGATAGGATACCTATGGATGTCATTTTCATAGGCTCTAGTAAGGCATTTGACAAGGTACCCCATTCCAGGTTGCCCGGGAAACTAGAAAGTTTTGGATTCACTGGCAGTCTGCTCGCCTGGATAAGAGACTTTTTTATCGGTAAGAGACAAAGAGTTCAGTTTTCAACTCTCCACTTGGAAGTCGGTAGAGAGTGGAGTGCCTCAAGGCACAGTCCTGGGTCCCCTGCTGTTTCTCTTATACGTAAATGAGCTGCCAAATATCACGAAATTCCCTATGGTTCTCTACGCTGATGTAAAAATCTGCCGGGAAATTAGGAACGATGAGGATATAGTGCCCTTCAGGCGAACCTGAACAGCTTGTTTACCTGGTCAGAGAAGTGGCTGATGCCTATTAATGTAGGTAAATTTGTGAGCATGCACTTGGGGCACACACAGCAATACCTATGATGTTGATGGGACTCCTCTACCGTCAGTACTGACTCACAATGATCTAGGAGTCACGGTGAGTTATGACTTGAAAACCACGACTCACTATCGATTGGTAGCAGCCCGGAGTGTTAGGACTCTATGGGCATTACGTAGAACGCTTACGAAAATAAGTGGTGACATTTTCACCATCTTATACGCATCCTTAGTTAGGTCTGAATTAGAAAACTGTTCGCAGGCGGCTAATCACTGTCTGAAAGGTGACGCAGGCCTTCTAGAAAGAGTTCAAAGGGCAGTCACTCGTATGATCCCTGCGATGACTTGCCTGACCCATGAAGACCGACTCTAGGAGCTGAACCTCTTTACTTCATCCTACCGGAGACAGAGGAGAGATCTATTATTATTATTGTTATTATTATTAGTCCCTTGGGTTCCTAATGGAACATAGGGCTTCAGTAACACGTCTCCATTCCACTCTGTTCTCTGAAATCTTTTGAACCTGGCTCTACGACAGCCCAGAAGCTCTCATTTCTTCCCTGCGCGATCTCCTTCATGTCACCCTCAGCTGGGATGCCCAACTCGTCGCTTCCCATGGGGATTCCACTCGAGCAACTGGCCTGACGCGTGATGTCCCCAGTCGGCCTTCTCAGTGTATGCCTAATCCAATTCATCTCCACTTCCCTCTGCATATTTGTTGGGTGATAGGTTCTTGGTTGGTTCGTTCCCAGATCTCCTTGTTGCTTATTCTCGTTATTCTGGCCATCTGATCTTCAGTAGCGAACGTAAGCAGTTGTTGATAAATGTCTGTAGTTTTTTGGAAATGCTTTTCGTAACGTGCCAAGTCTCTGAACCATACAGAAGCACTGACTTGACTGAATTGGTGTTGAACATCCGGATCTTGTTACACATACTGAGTGGAGTGCAGAAGATCTCCACACTGGTTTCAGGCTAATGAACGCTTGTCTTGCTGTCTTTCCGATCCTGGCTGACTTTGACATCCTCGTCTGTGCCTGTGTCGCCTGTAGTTGAAACAGTGCTTTCTAGATAGGTGAACGAGGTTACTTCCTTTAAGTTTCTCCCGTTCATGGTGATTGGAGTTTCTTGTTGTTGTTGTTCGAGTTGTTGGTGCAGTATCTTCATTACTTCTGTCTTTTCTATATTCACCTGAAGTCCCGTCTTCGCTGCTTCGCCTCGCCTCTTCTGTCAACTTGTTAGTTTTCGCCTGTGGATCTTCAAGTTTGTGTGACATCAGGCACAAGTCATCATTGGCGAAATCAAGATCTTCTAGGTTCTTTTCCACAGTCCAGCCAGCGTGTCCCCCTCTTCTCGCTTCTCACTGTTTGTTGCATGATCCAGTCCACCACAATCAGGAATATCATGGGTGATAGTAGACAACCTTGTTTCACTCCTGTCTTCACTTCAAAAGCATCACTGAGCTAGCTTCCCACTGTGAATTACTTGGCTGGCATCTTCATATAGTTGTTGAATGAAGCTGATAAAGGTTTGTGATATTCCGTAGTATTGAAGCAGTTTCCAAATTACCTCTCGGTCGACGCTGTCAAAGGCCTTCTCAAAGTCGATGAAGTTGAGGTAGAGAGTTGACTGCCATTCTGTACTCTGTTCTATGATGATGTGAAGCGTTGCAATTTGGTCCACATATGATTTGTACTTCCTGAAGCCTGCCAGCCTGTTCCGGTCGTAGTTTTGAATCCAGCGCATCCTTTAGTCTCTCCAGGATGATGCGGCATAATATTTTGCTTGCTCTGGGTGGACAGGAGAGTGGTTCCGCGCCAGTTTTTGCAAAGACTTCGGTCTCCCTTCTTCGGCAGTTTGACAAGGTAACCCTTCTTCCAATCAATGGCCAGGCACCTTCTCTTCCTTCCACACCTTCTGCAATAGTGGTGTGGTGTGAACATGTTCGCTGTTGTCTCTGCGTCTGTTCTGAGTGCTTCTGGTGGGATCCCATCTGGTCCTACTGCTTTCCCACATTTCAGTAGCTTCATGGCGTTCAGGACTTCCATTTTTGTTGGGGGATTTATGTTCACTTGTAGTTCAGAGGAGAGACCTAATCATCCAATATCTAATATCTTTCTAACAAGCTTGTGTAAATCAGTTGATTTCTTCTTGCTCGCTTCTTGGTCTTGCGTAACGGTTCCAGGTCTTTTGCAGATTCTGATGCAGTAGATCCAGCCACTAGTCTGTTATAGCTCTGATTTACAGCACACGAAGTTAAGTGTTGGCTTATTTGCCTTGGACTGTGATGCAGTTGGCTTCTTCAGATGTCGAGCTGCCAGACATTTGTTTGGACTGGTCGCTAGTGAGGGTTAGGGATAGTGAAGAAAAAACCAAAAAAGGTGTTTGTGTAAAAGGGGAAAAGAAAAGCGAACTAATGGAGTAATCTACTTACACCCAAGTAAGGCGAGGAGGGGTGCAAAGGTATGAAGAAATTAGGTAAGTGAGGCTAACTCATGGCAATTGGAAGGGATGAAAAGGACTAAAATGGTTACAGTGGAAAGAAAACTGGTTGTAAAGTTAAGATAGTTGGGGTGGCTTGACATTAGTTCGTGTTCCAGCTATATGTGGGTAGACCGTGGGTCTCTGCGTGACTGTCTAGCCTCTTCTTGAAGCTCTCAATAGTTAGGGCGGAGACCACTTCTGCTGGTAGTGAGTTCCAGTACCCGCAGACTCGGAGGAAGAACTGTGAATGCAAATGAGTTTTTGACCTTTGGTGGACTGTTCTCTCAGGGTTTCCTCTAGGATCTCCACAGTGGCCACTCGGTAGTATTCCTCTGTTCGGGTGACTAGAATTATTCAGTATTTTGTAAGCCATTACCAAGTCACCACGTAACCTTCGGTAGCTAACAGAATATAGGCCTAGGTCTTTCAGTCTATGATATACAGAATTGTAAGAAATGACTTCGGACCTGATCTATCTTGTCTTTTCCCTCCCACTAAGTCTGAAGACCTCAAAAGACATAGTAGGAGACTGCATAAGCAAAGAACAAACATAGTATTCGTAGAGTACAGGTTCTCGCGTCGAGTATCCAATATCCAATATTCCAATATTGATAGTGCGAGCGTAGAAAACTGGTAGTTTTTGATCTCTCGCGTCTAGTAATCAACGCCTGGAACGGACTGCAAGAATAAGTGTCCGCATTATCAATGGACTCGTTCATAAGCGGATTGGATAAGCACAGAAATCTACTGGAAAAGGATTAATATAGGCTCCCAGCCTCCTATCCTCAAACAAATCAGAAAATCTGTAACACTGCTTACCTTGAGAGTGAATGCACCGCTCTACAGGCTACCAAGATTCAAGGACAAACTTCAGTTGGTCTTTCAAACTTCGTGTTGTAGAATTAGCGAACTGAGACTCCTTGGGTTCCACGTCTGTCTTATTGGAATACGTTCTGAGTTTGGAATGGTCACAATTATCTTCCCGGTTCTGAAAAACCTGAAAGGATAGAGATACGATTAATTAATTAATCTGGTCTCAAGTTAGTATTACTGCATCTGATCTGGGGAAAGCTTCTCGACTATAGCCCATCGGTACCGTAGGACTCGAGATGTGCATCTGGCGTCCTTCTAAAGGTACTGGATGCAGCTGAAGAGCAACTAAGCGGTCAGGGTACGGTTTGTGCCGTAACCCAATCACTTTCTTTGTAGCTCTTCTCTATACCCGTTCTAGGATGGCAATGTCCTTTTTCAAGTATGGGGACATTACAAGCTAATTTTTTCCTAGATGAGGACGAATGTACAGAGCATACACTGTGGTGAAAAGAGGAGGAGTTAGACACCCTAATGTTCGCGAGAGAAACCCGGGGTTTCTTTGTAGTAACATAGGTAATTTTCGCCGCACCGAGAATTGGCAAACTACTAGTTTCTGTGTCTCCAAATCTAGATATAAAGACAAGGGATGGAATAATAAACAGGTAGAATAGGAATGCAGGATAAGTTTTTAATTCGTAAGTAAGCTCCTAAAGTGACTTTAAGTACGCGTCAAGTTTGTTTGAAGGACTACAGTGATGTAATCTGAAATATTTTCCTGCCGTCGCTATGGAACTACAGTTTGGTGACTACTTTTAGTTGTTGTGGAACGTCCAGTTGTCTTCATTTTTTCATCCTAGCGGACAAAATAGCTCATTTAACATAGCTGTGGTAGTATTAGTATGTGGTAAGTCGATATCTAAGATAGACGCCATTCTACTGGTTGTAGCTGTCTAATTTTCTTTCGGGATCCATAGATTTTTCCGGTGAGTCATACTGTCTCAAAACCTAAGCATCTTTTGATTACTGTAATGCTACAATATTTTCCTTGGATTAGGCAGTGTTCAATATTTACAGTTGGGTGTAAAAAGCTGTCAGATTTTGCAGTCCCACGCAAAGTCACCTGTATTGGGCTTCATTAGTTTTATTTTGCGCCGACTGGAAGTCTTTACTGCTTTCTTTCACTTTTCTCTTGAGTACATGATTGTTTGTGGGTCGCGTTCATCTTTCGCAGACTGGCCAATTAGAGAAGCTATAGAGGTGCTAGGATGATCGACTACCCTTATGCAACTCCTGTACGGACAATAGTTGTCAAAGTTAGTACGAACTGGGTAGCCAGTAAAGGGAAAGAATACTTTAATTTTTGAATCGTTGGATTTCCACATAGCCGTCTTCCTGGGGTTGGGAGTAATTTTCCCACTGAATGATTCAACGGGCAAGCAATCGTACATACTTCTATGTAATGCTACGTTAGGTGAACAGATTAGGTTATCTGGGACTATCTGGGTGAAGTGTATCCTGTAGCCAAACGTTGAACAAGGTTGCTCTTGTCTGCTCTTTCTGAACAAAGGGCTAATCTTACGTAAACGGTGAGAAGGCTTATGCATGTTTCATTTCATTTCTGATTGGGTGGCGAAAAGTTTAGCGACACTCATTTGAACCAAGTATCGCCCAGTTACTTTTTCACGTTTTCTTTACTAAGGTGTGGGCTGCTTACCGATCATTTCTGTATTCCACTTAAGGCAGGATTACGCTACGCCTTTATAACTGCCACCACAAAACATACTATACTGTCACCACAGATATGACGAGATCTAAAATTCGTTAAATGTTCATTAATGAGCAGCAGTGGGGTCCTGGACACATATTTCTTACTCTCTGAGACTCATTTTTCGACCATACCTGCATCCTCCTCTTTCTTTGTGTTCTTACTCAGACTTGAGCCGAGCACTTATCACTTTAAATATATGAGCCTTATCCACCTAGCTACCAGGTGAAAATCGTCGTATCTTCTCGGTGGGTTTCAGTTTTACTCCTATGGTTAACCGTCACAGAACTGAACTGACCACTTTATGTATGCGTATGGAATAAATCCATGGATATCGGCATCCCTATCGAACCCATGTCTTAATAAGTTCCAAAGGAATTTTCCGCTTAATCATCTAAATTGGGAAGCTGAGTGTATCTGGTACAACTAAACCTCTTCCCTTACATTTTATAAACTTCCGCATCTTGCCTGTTTTCTCGTACTTTCCCCCCATTCTTTCCCGGACTGCTGAAAAAGACTGTGCTATATTACGTGGAACCTTAAAGATTATCAGCAAGTTTAGTGGTGTGACTCTACGCCTTCTGACTGAAACTGTTAGGGACAAACATATTAACTCGTATGTACATCTTGCAGGATTTATTTTATTGGATGACCAGCATTCTCCTCACTCAAAGTTCTCCGTGTGTCGGTCATCAGGAAGGACATAGGGCAAGTACATAAGACTTAATGCGCGCACCGCTAGATATAAAGACTCTACGATACCACGCTTAGCTCGTTTCCTGTGTGACTAATAACCGCTGCAAACAAACTAACTGATCAAAAGCTTTGGAATTCTCATCGGTTAAAGAGTAAACAGCTTGTCATCATTTGTTTATTATTAATTAAATTCCCAATATAATTGTCAGCCAAAATCTGCACTTTCGAAACGTTGCAGACAGGGTAAACTTTCTTATCCTCTATACATAATTTTTACCCGTTCCATTCGGCTATAAATACACACACTGTTTCTGTCCAAATGGTGCCACATGACATGCTGAAAACTGAGTGCAGTATTCTTGAAATACCCTCCAGAACAAAGCCACTACTAAAATTATCTTCATTATCATGTACTAGTGCTAGTCGAACCTTCATTACGAACTCGTTGTGGGCTATCCGATTTGCGTTTCGTGTTTGTTGATACCCAAGGGCTCGGCGAAGCTAACGGGGTTCCATGGAAGCTTCCTCATCAGGGACTAGTCACACAGGTGAATAAATAAATATGACCTCAAAACCGAACACTAGTGGCATTTATCTAGTCCATAAAATCATCAAAACCGCTTCAGTGGGGAACAGCTGACAGTGCGCCAACTCCAAATGAATGAATGTCCAGCGTTTTTGACCAGGCGACGACCATCATAGAAAAGCCACGTCTAATAATCTACCACAGGGCTAAAGCTGGGATTATGCTCGCTCATTCCTCACACATGTGCTGCGTAGATCATCCGGTCCTGGAACATTGTAACAGCCTCCTGGAAAAAGATATGAGCAAATAAAGCCTGATACCGACGCCCACAGACTAACTGTAATCACCCCATGAAACCTCCGCTCACCGAATACGCTTTTTCCGTCCTCACTCCCATCCATTTCAACTTATTCTATCAATTTTCAGGCACGTAAATGAGCAGTAGTTGCAAGATGGCCTTCATTGCCGAAAAGGCCACTAAGTTCCCTCAGGTACGAAGCACAAAAAGAGGAATCACAAAATTCGCAGCAAATAATCGCCTCCCAAGAGCCGAAAGCACCCAAGCAAGATATACCTCTGTGTCCGTAAAAAGAAGGTGCATCCCAGAAAAAATAATGCCTTTGAATTCGGGGCTAGTTTTCAAAAGTACGGGTTTCTTTTACGTTCAGAAAAAGAACAGCTCTATCCCGATCCTCCGTGTGTGTCCAAGGAAACGCCATATCTGGCTTTTAGAAAGTCACAGATAATAAATAGTATACGGGTGAACACACAATTGTTTGTTCATAGCCACGCTTCTGGACATGAACGGTGTTAGAATGATGGACTAAAAGGTTAAAACCTAAGCCGCGAAATAACGTAAACACTATTTCGTCTACCGCGTGACTTATCAAACGCCACTAAGTAACCAAGCTTAGACTTTTGGTTTCAGGTGATCCTCGGTGTGTTACAGAAAGTCAAGACAATCTATTAGCCGGCCATTGGAAGTCCGAAAAAAAGACTGGCGATTGCCAGCTGATGCAGCGTGATACGCAACTACAAAAGGTAGCCAATGCAGAAGTTGTTTTCGGATGATAATCTACTCATGATTTACGCATGCACCGACGTGAGAACCCAATTGGAAAACTTTGACGTCACTCAACAAATCGGATTGGTTCATTTATGGTTTCGTTTCCTGACAGCTTTGTAGATACACACATATCATGTGTTTGTCTGACAAAGTTGTCGCCGTCGCTGTTCTTGCTGCCACAGGTCATCTCTGGTTTCTCATTTTTCACAGGTCAGTGGGGTAGAAGGTACCAAGGGGGGTCAGTCGTGAAAGTATTCGGTTGAGATGTCTGTTAGGTCTCAGCAGATCATCGTATCACGTCCGCAATTCCACTTGGTCACAACAGGGACGACTTCATTCAAACCAACCCACATCTGCGAGTTGGGCCGCAGTCGCTTTTCCTTCCGATGGGCTACCGATTGCAGGGTTCCAGTGCTGGACACTTAACATTACAAACACGTCGTCGGGGTCTTCTTCGCCTGGATCAGGCAAGTTGGCGAATTTGGAGGTGAAGGTTGAAAGATTTTACCACGCAAATGGGTGGCAACCAAGAGCAGTTATATGGTGAGGCGGTTCACAAATTCCGATCAGCTATACGCAGTTCTCTTAGGTTGTTAGTTGGGAACCGCGGACTCCCCTAAAACATGACAATTACCAGACATGGTGTTAAGCTGACACACTGCAACTTGCCAAAACGAAGGCGCCCAGGGTGACGAAATTTGTTTACTCAGGCCATTCGTCTAGCGCCAGTTCAACAAGTGTGCGAAGCAGACAGTAGACGCTCTTGCCTCTAGGGATGAAACAAATACCGGTCAATTGCTTGCTTGTACGACGCCTGAGGAACCAATCTGCATCGCGGTCCCTAGGAAAAAAGCGCATGCTTCCTACAAATTTAACCAACACCCAACTGCCAAAGGGTCAACCAGAGGCACAGTGGTCGAGAAAGTAGACCTACTGCATGGGAGTCCACCGAAGACCCGGAACCGTTCCACAAAGCCCAGAAGCCAGCGTGAAGAAATCAATCGGTTTGCATTAGCCCTTAAAATGGTAGTGGATATTGGATGTACCACTTGAACCAGTTGGCCGGCCTCCTGCGAATCTACTTGGCTCAACAACTATACCTGAGATTTACTTCAAGGTCACAGAATTATGAAGTTCAGCAGTAAAACAAGAAGGCGATGCTGCGGCCCGGTATGAAACAGCCCATGTTTTAAACCAGAGATGAAAAATATCTTTTGGCAGTCACAAAACGCTGCGGATAAACGGAGGCCACAATCTGGAGAATGGTGTTGTGCTTCGCGCAAGCCCAAATCATACCGTTCATCGTCTGGATGCTGAGTTTCTCATTTCAAATAAAGTGACGTGATTCCTTATCACCAAGGATTGAGGTGACTACCTGTTAAGAATCCTGTATTTGTCTCCATATACACGAAAAACTAAGAGCAAGTAACTCCCTCATCTATAAGAAGAACAACTAAACTGAAATCTTTCACGGAACTGTCGTTGATTGTAGATTTCAATCTAATCGATCTGTTCAGCTCTCGTTAGACCCCAACCCCTGATAAAGGATTCCTGGAATTACTGCTGAAGTGCGAACTGTGTGAACACTTAAATATTACAGTGCTTACCTTTCTGGAGTGGCTGAAAGCCTGAAGGATGCGGACTTTGCAGATGTTGGTAACTACCTACGTCCAGTCCGACACAGGAAGCTTGTAGAGGATGCAAGAAACCTAATCGTGAATCGAAAAGCACCAGGATTTCATCACTGTGGACGCCCTTCGCGATGAACGCCACTTGAAGCAAGCCTGGTTCCTGCTCCGAACTAGTCTCCCTGTCCCACGCTTTGGCCATGAGACTGTCACTGATGGTCTGTGTGTTACCTCTAGCACGCTGGAAGTCCATTTGGCACATTCACACAAGCCTATCGCCTCTGGATGCTGGAGTTGGAAAAGTGAAGATATTTGGCTGTTAGTCATAATATTCATCAAGATTGTGAATCTTTGTCGTGAAGTGGTATTAACATGCATGAATTATACAGTCCTGGAATCATCAATGAAGTACAATATGAAAACAATTCATAAACTTTTCATCATTATCTGAAGCAAAAAGTACAAACTGTTACGATGGAAGTATTAGCTTCAAGCTTTATTTTTCTCCAGGTAATACCTGCAGTGTCTAGATACAAACCTGGTTTTCTGTTAATGCGGAGACAATACTTCCACTTGTCCAACTTGTAAATTTTCTGCACACTTATTCTGCTAGGATGTTCCATTATGTGAACATACAGCACTAAATCTTCTAGTGACAACGGGTCCGATTCAGATTACCTTCGTGAAGATACATACAATTTGCAAATAAACTTACTCATACCTGCAAAAATGGTGTGTGTGCCTGTATATTCAGGAATAAATATTAT